AAGTATTGAGATTCTAATGCAGTTTAATACAATGCACGGTGTATAGGCGTAGGATGTCAAGAAACAAGCACTGACAGGAAAACTTTTTCAGAAGATTAGCAGGATCTCTTTGGTGGATTTAGAAGCCACGGGGACTGTCCACGGATGTTTGGGACCATGGTACTCACCGATGACGTAGTTGCTTTGATATGGAAGATTCAGGATAGCAGGTGCCAACAGATGAAGAACAGAGAAAAGAAAGCAAAGAGAGATAATATGAGAGGAGACACAAGGAAAGTCACAAGACAGAGAAGGTGCGGGGTGCTATGTTGTGTAGATTCAAGTACTCTGGTACAACGACACAGGGTCAAACCGGAACAACGGGGGCCTGAGCTTGTCTAATATATGGGATATATATTGAAACCTCAATTAATCCACAGAACCGCGAACTCATTCCGAGCCGGAGATTATTCCCCTTCAACCGACCGTCAACCGAAGGCTAACCGCGAGTTCCCCGCCCAGGGTATATGGAGATGGAGACAATATGGGAGACGGGAATGGTGCCTGGCATTTCCCTTGTATGGAGCGGAAGTCGCCAGAACCAGGCATCTCCACCAAGAACTGACGTGTTGGACCAATGATATCTACATCATTTCGATTATCAATGCACGAAGGATATGCCTGCACGCTACGGAGCTTGTCAAAATGCGGGGGGGTAGCTCGACGATCCTACCTTCCACGAAACTTATCACTTACAACATACACGTATCAGGTCAGAGCAGTATGTACCTAGGTATTCTAAAACTGTGGCTCACACTGCTAATACTGTCTAATATAGAACATATTGTCGACTGCCATTCCGTTGATCCCCCTCCTTTAACCACTACTCCGTACATACGGCAGATATCTTAGTGCCACGAGCTAGACTCGGAATCCCCACCAACGCTAAACCCCTTTGGGATTCCCCACGAGAACTTGTCGGGATCCCGTACTGATATACCCGGCAACGCATTTACAACCTCTCCGGGCATTCGACATCAAATACTATGAACACATGATGCTACTTATTTTCGATATATGTCATATTCCAAAAGATAGATCTCAAGCTATTCCCGGCACAATTTCCCAACGGTATCAATTCTACGTTGAACATTCGATACAAACGCACGGACTAGCCGTATATCGGACTATGATTTAATTGTTGGGAAGCTCTGTCACAGTGCCTAGAATCCAATAGATGCGACTAACATCTCGGCGGGGTGGATAAGTCTGATCGGCTATTCCACGGTAATTTCCTCCCGCTTCCCTCGGGCTATGATCCGAGCATGCTCGGCAGTCCAATCGGCCAAGCATCACTTCGCTGACGCTGTGGTGGGCCCGCCCTTGCACCATCCCCTGATCGCCGACCAATCTCGTCCATTGAGATTCTAAGGGATCCCTTGTGTGGAGCTGCGGCTCCCGCTACTATTGTTGGGCTGACTCTGCACAGATTCCTCCGGTTTGGGCCTACTTCTGGCGCTTTTCCGCCGATGACCGGCAATAATTATATCAGGTAAGCTTTTAGAGTGGATTCTCACCCCGTCCCTTGTGATGCCTCTTCTCTATCGTATTGGTCCTTTGTGACGATTACGGATATAAGTCGTCAACTTCCAACATCGTTTCAAGAGGACCGGGCAAGTCGGTAAGAGTCAGCGGAGGACCGTTCTCCGGACAACATCGTCATATGCACGGGGACTAGACGGGATCATTTGATGGAGTGTTTGGACTGGCAGGGCGGGAAGTTTAGCAAAGCGATACGAGACTAAGCTATGAACAGTCCCAAGAGATATCCAGCATCGGATATCACCGTTCGGTAACCGTGCAGGACCCGCGGAGTGCATGTTTGGATCGTTATCTCTCTCTGGGTCTTTAGAGTCCGAGGGCCCGGTGTAAACCAAGCCCTGGACCTCAAAGTACAGTGAAGCCTCAATCCCAACCAAACGACTCATGCGCATAGCCGCGGACCTCTCCGATGCTCCGGTGTCCACTAACACATTCAGCTATCTGTATCATCTCCGAACAAAAGGGAATCATATTGATATCGGAAACCGCCGTCTATGATAAACCCTGTCACTTGCTTGTAAATAACACCAACCAGCGCTATTACAACTGCAGCCAGCCAATTGTGTGAGTCTAAGTGCCGGTGTTCTCCAAAGTATCTCCCGCGGAATCCACTCCGTGCCTAGCTCGACCTTAAAAAGCCCCACGCGCAATTTCTCAGTCAAAGCCAACGTGCATCATCACTCCCAGTCCCCTCCGCGGAAAGGGTTGTCGGCAAGTCGGGAGCTCCATCAGCCTCAACCCTCGATTTGGACCCACTCGCCTACCGGCATAGGAGTTCGGGAATGTTTCTTATGTGTGGCTTTCCTGGACAGGGGATATCGCATTGAGGAGCCGGGGACGGGTTGTAGGAGCGGGTACGAAGGTTTTCCGGGACCATCACAACAGCCGGTCTAATCGGTGGTCAACACGATCTTCACTATATCCTTGCTCAAGCCCCTCAGGGTACGACTTGATCAAGGGATTTTGACCATACTGTAGCTCGCGGGGCTTGCTGGACTTGCTGGACTGGTTGCGTTTGGTTGGATCGCTTGGCTCGCCGGACTCGTTCCGCTTGCCGGGGTTGCTGCGCTTGCTGGGCCGCTCTTCCTGCCATCTGCTATTGGTGTCCAGCTGGGCCTTCCCGTCTTGTCTGTTGAACTGGTCGTCGCACCACTCTTTGAAGGGTTTCAGCTTCAGCGCAAAGTTGCCTTCTTCCGGTGTCATCCTTGCGGCGTGTTGTGCTGCCTGGTGTTGGGGTAAATAGTTGAAGAAGTGACAATCGAAAAATGACTACTTTATTCCCTTGTTCCAAGATCCCGCACACTGCCCTCCTTCGGATTTCGCATGTTTGTGGGCGTCGGACGGTCTGTGGATCAAGGTCGTGGCAAAGTGAGGACCATCGTCCTTGCTGATCGTACAAGTATCCGTTGGCCACCACATGGTCCATGAACGTGGAGATCTACATACGCGTAACATAGGTGATAACCTGTATTAGATGGAAGGGGGATCATGAAGTTCATTTGAGAGGCTGGTAAGGCGATGTGGAGGCTATAACGACGAAGACGGTGGTCCCTCTACTTTGCATCATGCGCTCTTGTAGACGCCGCGAGGTGAGGGACGGTGCTACTAGCCCGGTACGGCCGATTTCGAAGCTGCAGCCTAATTCGAAGGAGAATATTAGCCTAGAAAAAGATGTAAAAGCGCGACAAGCCTGTGCAGCAACTTCCTGGCGGCATTCAAGGCACGCTGTAGTTGGGGGACCAGGCCGCCGACGGTTCTGGATTGGCCAAGTGGCTTAGAAATGCCACACTTGGTGCACTGATGGTCGATATGAGAAATGGGACAGGCATTAACCGAGTGCGGGCAGCGCAGAATTGAGAATACTCGGCCTAAATTAACATCACGAACTGCCAACGGAAGGGTACAGAATCAAGAAAGACACACAGCAGAGACCATCTTCTTTACCAAACCGTGCTCACTAGCGTGGGATTTGATCAGAGAATCGAGACCGGCACCAAGGTCCCGAATTGCAACTGCGGCACTTGCAATCTGCTCATCTTCAAGGATCAAACTAGCGGTATCCTTGGCGCCGTAACCTGTCTCCTCATTGATCCAAAAATCGCGAGCCCATTCGATTGCAGCATGGAATTCATATCCGTGACCCTCGGATACCCTCGTAAATCTGAAGAAAAAGCATCAGAAACAACCGTGATTCATAAACGGAACGACACCGAGGAGAGGCGTACCTGGATCTGAACCTCAACGGCTGGAGGTTGAACTAGGCCATTAACATGCCTGTGCCCTTTCTGCCCAGTATCCTGGTGGTCCTTTGTTGTTCTCCCTTGCCTTCTTTGCAGTCTCTTTCGACCTCTCTCGACCACGTCCCTGCGAAAACGAAAGTCCAAATCCTAAGGGGTCTCTCTAAGCGCATCTGGCAGGTAGATCGGTAGGGGACTCAGGGACAACCTCAGGATCGGAATCTAGATCGGAATCCAGATAATCAAGGCCTAGGGAGGTGATATCAACGAGTCTTTTCGGAAATTTATTTAATGCGCTGTTTGAGACTCCCCCATTATTGCTGTTGTAGCTAGAAGGATAAGAAGAATTATCTGCGAAATATATCTAGTATATAGTATATAGACCATAGAAAAGATGTAATATGTGCAAGCCGACTTTTCGATATGTAACATTTGATGATTCTTTATAGCGCTATTGATGCATTAATGCGAGCAGTGTCTTCATGCAGTTTGTGGCAGATCTTCCTTTGCTCTTTGATCTCCTTTTGCTAGAATCTTTCTAGGCTTTGTGCCTTGGTTTCTCCCATGAAGACGTCATCATCAGGATCTATTCATATCAATTCATACTGTTGATCATCTCTCCTCCTGCAGATCCGTAGGACTCCGTCCATCAGCTATGGGTTTATTTTCTGTAGATACACTTTCAGTTCCAGAGGCAGATCACACAAACGTAACCCTTCTAAGGAGTACAAATAACCCATTCTGGCAACACTGATTACTTTACCTACCTCACTTACCCCTTGCTTATTTCTCACCTCCATTTATCTATCTCTTCTCTCGCGTTGGGCTCGTTGGTTAAGGCTACTATATAGTTCTAGAGCCCCTAGTATAAGGGCTACCCCTGACACTGGCGGCAGAAGTAGCGATATGAAGTAAGCACACGCTAAATGCGAGCTTCGCAAAAGACGGTGTCGATCTCAATGAGATTTGGCTGTCGGGATGAGACGTAGCATCCACAGTTATCGTGCTTGAAACTCCACATGTACATGGTCTCAAATTCTCACAGATATCTCTTTCGGCGCCTGGAAGCCCTTGAAATGCGGCAGCATAGAGGACAATTTGCAATAGCAGCCTAAACTCCGGTGTGCATAGGGATTATACTAGTCCGTCGATATCAGGTGCCTTCAGGGCTCAGAAATTGCCTCAATCAATCTTCCACATCACTTTCAACTGATTAACAGCATCCCCATACATCCTGTCACGCGCTTTATTCCCCCTGCAAAAAGAAGGCTTCTTATCAAATCCATGAATAACATCCTCAACTACAAATCCGCCTATACTCGCCATCTTCCCTTCTTCAACAAACCCACCAAGCCTTTCCCGGAAAGTATTCCCCTCAACAAGCAACTGATCCCACCCACAAGTATAAATCGCAACAGCAGGCGGATACGTGGCAAGCAACAGAGACTCAGGCGCCAGACCCGGCGAAAGATAAGGATGCGACATATCCACCCGATCCGTACCCGGCCATTTTGGCAGGCCGGCAGGGAGAAGGTAGGAATCGTCGAAGAACTTGAATAAAGAAGGGGGAATGATGGATTTCTGTGGGGCAATAGGATTTGTAGCATCACGCTCTATCCGCGATCGTGTCCAGTCTGTGCTGGGATAGAATACTACCAAGCCAGCCAACTCTATCTCCTCGCCTATCGACGCCCAGCGTTGTTTCTGTAGTTCCTCGTGCAGCCGAAATGGCACTGCTAAAGCAAGGTTACCGCCCGCGCTGGCTCCGCTGAGTGCGAAGCGCGTCTTGTCGAAATTGTACTTCTGCGCTTCTTGCCATAGCCATAGTATGGCGTCGGCGCCGTCCTCCAGCGGAACGGGGAAGGGTCGCTCCGGGGCTAGGCGGTAGTTGATGCTTACAACCACGGCATCTGGGTAGGCTTTCAGCACGGTTCCCGCCCAGCGGGAATCGTCGCGCGCGTGACCAATTGAGAAGCCGCCGCCGTGGAAGTTGATGAGGACGGGGCGGGGCGGTAGTCTTTGGGTTTGCTTGCGAGGACAGAGGGGTCTTGAGGGTGCGGTGAAGAAGTAGAGCTGGATCGATCCCGGGGTTTTGCTGACTTTCGAGGGAATGGCGATTTCGACGCTGGGTCCTGGGGGGAGTGGCCAGGAGAGGTATCGGTCTAGCAGGGAGCGTAGGCTTAATAGTATGCGGTATCGGTGGGCCTTGTTGCTGAGGACGGAGCGGGACGGAGGGGGTGAGGTGTATGCCATATTATACGGCAACGAATCATTTCTCGTAGAAATGTAGAGATGGCGGATAAATTGATGATATGTGATGTTTATGTGGACGAATGATGTAAGCTGTTAGTCACTGGACCTGAACAGTCCCTGTCAGGTGTTACCCGACAGATAATTTTATGTAATGCATGAGTCGAGGAACTGTTGTAGTAACGTGCTCCAGGTCCAATATCCCCCGAATGGTGATGTATGACGTTTAGGCAGATCGCCGCCATCTGTCCATTTGGGCAGGTGGAACCTAAGCATACAAGCATAACTTAATTTATCCGTACGTACAATTCCAGATTTTATGAATACCAGGCTTCTCCAAGTCGTAAATTAAATGATTCCACCAGTCTCCTATAGCTCCCTCTATAAGAGATATGCAGGCCACAACAACCAGATATATCCGCGTACGTACACAGAGAATGTCCCACTTCCTAAAAACGAACTCAGAACCTCGGAAAAGACCTACAATGGCCTTGTTGCCATTTCCATAGTTAGGCTGTCCTCCCGATGCACGAACTGGGAGCCATTGTGACGCCTCAGCAGAGTCAAACACGACTTTGACCGTCCTGGCCCATGACACGCTGTCTGGTTTATCTTTCTCACCTTCTCTAGGGCCTCCCGGCAGAAATGACCAGGATTACCATGAAAGAGAAGTAAAGTTGATGAAGAACTGCGCATCAGAAGCCTCGGCCTTTCATTAATCCATTACCGAGACTCTTGACCGCTCATTCGTCCTGACCAACTGATTTCGAAAAGCGCAACAGTCACTTCACAACGCGCAATTACATTACTCGTCTTGTCATCGTTCTTTGCCACTATTAATTATCTATGCTCGCGTAACCGATATCGATGGTTACCGCCAAAGGCGTTATATCAAAGTAGGGGAAGATTTCTGTGCAACTACATTAAATCGTGGATTCAATCCCACTCTTCACCCAGCGGGCTACGACCACGTCCATATTCCCGCTGACTTCGACTCTCAAAAGCCTCTTAAACGGTGGTTCATCCTTGATTTGGACGTCGTTCAAGCACTCAACCAGGAAGATGTGCTCCAACTTCCTCACCAGGTCTACCTTGCAAGTAAACAGAATGGCAAATTGTGAGACGCCCAGTCCAATTATACGTGGCAACCCATTCTGATTGAATAGAGCCTTCATTCTAGGCAATCGATGGGCTGAAAAAGCAATGGACAGAGCTGTTTCATACACCTGGGGTGGTAAACAGGAGCAAAGGATTGTTGAAAGTAAACGGAAGGAGATCAATAATGAGACGGAATAACTAGCGCCTCCATCACCTAATATACTATCCATCCTTCCAATCTTGGAACATTTGTGGAGCTCTTTTGTCTCCACTCCCGAGCCGCATCGAGTAGGTCGGATTCCGAGCTTCAAAATAAAGAGGGAGCCGTCTGCTTGTTTTAATACGTTTCCCCAATTCAAATTCCCATCGCATCGAGAAAGGGACACAGATTATTTTACCCATCCCTCATATCTCTAAAATGTCCTCTCCTCTCCCAATCGTGCTCTGTGCCCTAGACTCCGGGATCGGCAAGCCGGCTTCGGAACTCCTCCTACCCGAATTTGAAGGTTAGTAGAGGATACTTATTGCGACATAATCCAAATAATCTCAGAGCAGCCTAGCTAATACCCACTAGTAATCCATTTCATCCAAAGCCTGCCAGCAGCACAATCCGAAATTCCCCACCTCCTCGCAGGCCGGGATCCTCAATCCCCTCACGTCAACGACGTCGGCACGAAAGACTATAGCCGGCCTGTGCGTGCAATCATTTTTGGTCGTGGCTTTGACTTGGAGGATATCGAGGCATTGCGCGAGGATGTCGCTAGCATCTCGCAAGACCCAGTTGTTTGGATCGCTGGTGACCCAAGTCGCAAGCCTCTTCCTGGTGCTGTTCCACCACCTAACATCCACCAACTTGTTGCGGGAATTGCGCGGAAATTGCTCGGTGGTTGGGTCGAGGCCGGAGCTGCTAGTAATGAGGTTATTTTGTACTAGGGGGTTTTGACTCTTTTTCTGGTTCAAGTTTGGTATTTGGGGTTTCATGATATCTAAATGCAAACTGGGCAATCTTGGGAGCGAAATACTATTAACTTTGCATGTCAAACCATGATATACTGTCTGATTTGATTTCTCTGCGCATTAGATGAATCCTTAATGGTTACCTGAATGAAATGGGATATCATCATACTCCCGTTTGGCATCAGCAAGCTCACGAATAACGCTGTATACTGAATACTGAGAATTTCCAATGTTATTGCCAGCACCCTTTCTCTCAATGCGCTTCCATGTACCTCCATGTACCTACCGTGCTGAACCATGGGTAGCTAGGCGCATTCGACTTTAGTTGGAATTCAATCTACGAGGAGAGCAAATATATATTTCACCTTGGTGTTGAGCGGCTTCCCCGCGACATCTTGATCTGGGATATATCTAAGCTTAGTGATTGGAGGAATCCGCATGAACCTGTTGGATCCACCTAGCTACCCATCTCAGTTTTTTAAAGATGATGCGACCAAGAGGAAAAGAGCTGGCGCCTTTTCCTGGAAAGATCTTGAGCTATAGTGGATGAAAACAGGCTCAAACGTTCTTGGGAATATCAAATCAACTAGTGAGAAGTATAATGTCGTTTCCAAACCCCGCAGTAATGTAGAACGAGCGTCCATTCTGGATCAACGCATTAGCGTATACTCGAGCCAACCGCGTGCGCAATGATTCTTACCTTCCTAATTCACTATCGCCGACAGATTCAGTCGCCAATCCTATTGGCAAGTCCGGAAAACGCTCGGACGTGGCATCTGTAGATCCACTGTCAAGACAGACTAAACTGCAATCCAAACCCCTAAATACGTCATTTGATGAAAAGTGCCGAGTGAGGTCACGGTCTAATGCTCTGTGCCTTTTTACTGGTAGCTCATTAGACTATACCCCGCATCCGCAGTTCTAGCTAGGATGAGACCACGCGACAATTTCCCCAGATAAAAGCCAAGACGCCAAGAAGTGCGCATCGACCGAAACGTAAAAAGATTGGAGAGATACTGTCTAATGCGATAAGTCATGGGATCAGGAATGAGAGGTAGAACAGTTTTTATAACTTGTCTTATATTGTAGTTGAACTTATTTTTGTACTCAGTAAAATGAAGTAATAATATCAACAATGACGTGCAGCCGCTAGAGTCAGTCTCGGGCGAAATAGGAGATAAGTCGATCTTCGTCCCCCTTCAAATCGGCCCAGGCCGTTTTCAAACAGCCGGCGAGGGTTGGGCAGGTATCTTAGATAGGTAGACTCGAATGAAAGACAAGAGACATATCACAACGGGTAAATTAGGAAGCTAAGTTTCAGAAATGATTGGCTGTGATTAATATCAAGGACCGAGAATCAACTAGTTACGTTGATGAATGTTGATCCGGATAACGGACAGAAAGAAGAAAATGCGACGGATGTGCACGAAAAGGGGGCAAAGCGCAATTCCCGGAATGTGAATAGATTCAATAATTGAAGGTCACGGGTCATTCTTAGCTTCGACGATGTCTAAACATCTTCCGTTTTGCGGAAGATACAAGGGGAAACCCCTTTCTCCACCAACCCTTACTCCTTCAGGGTGTGAACAAAAAAGCCTCAAATTCGCGACATAGTTCCAGCCAGCTGGTATTCGTGTCACACGCAAGGAAAAATTAAAATGATCAGCAGGGTTCAAAAAGAGAACTCACTGTGTACGTAAGATGCTGAAACAAATCGCGCAAAAATAACTAATTGTTTCACGAAGAATGGCTCCGGGTGGAATTTGACAAAAAAAAAAAAAAAGAAAAAGAAAAAGAAAATGCTCACGTCCCGAGGCC